GGAGCAGAGCGGGGCTCAGCTGGCCCAGGCCTCAGGGCTCACCCCCGTCTGCGTGGGCAGCCCGTACACGGCCATCACGTCCCTGGCGCTCAGACACACCTGGGGTGCGGGGCAGGTCAGGCCCTGAGCGGACTGTGGGCCCCCCTGGAGGATGGGCCGGGCCCCCCACCAGAGGAAGGGCCGCGTCACTTACCGTGTCCCACACGCTGGAGCTGCCGTTGGGGGCGACGAGAGGGGCAGGGCCCCCGTGGGGGTGACCGTGGCCGTGGCCCTGGGTCTCCACCACCGCCTCCGTGCCCACCCCCAGATGCTGCATCAGGGCCGCCAGCTCTAGCAGGGAAGACGGAGTCACCGCTGGGGCTGGGGGGCTCCAGCCGGCCCTGCCCTCCTGGACACCGCCCGCCCCGTGGCCGGGCCTCACCGGCCAGTGTGATGTTGGGGCGCTCGTTGCTTTGCTGCCGGAACACGAAGTCCACGAAGTACTGGGGCGCCGGCAGGGCGCGGAAGCAGGACCCGCTCCCGACGTGGTCGACCAGCGCCGCCAGGGCCGGGCCGGGGCTGCCGCGGGCGCCCTGCCCCCACGCTTCGTCCAGCAGCCCCGGCAGGTCCACACAGGCCTGGGGAGAGCGGCTCAGGCTCCGCCGTGTGGCCGTCTTGGCCTCCAGCCGGCCTTTGTTCCCCGTCACCCCGGCCCACTCTCAGGGGCCTGCCCTGAGCCCGGCTGGCCGGGCCGCTCCCGTCCCCGGCCCAGGGCCCCGCCTCACCCTGTGGGCCCCCCTTCCTGGCCCCCGGCCCGCGAGCGCCCTCCCCGCTTGGGACTGGCTGAGCCTAGCCCAGCGCCCTTGGGGAGCCTGGCGGCCCGTGGGGCTCTCACCTCATCCGCCGAGGGCTGGCCGGCGGCCCGGGCCTGGACGCTCAGCAGCAGCCGGCTCAGGCCTGGGGCCAGGGCTTCAGGGCCCTCGAGCAGGGCCAGGAGTCGGTCGGCGCTGGAGGCCCAGCGGCCGGCCCGGATGTCCACGCAGGTGCCCTCGGGGTCGCTGAGGTACAAGGCGACAGCGGCGCCGAGGCGGGCCAGGTGCCTGGACGACACCCCCCATCCTCGGGCGCGCCCAGGGCCAGGGCGGCCTCCACAGACAGGCACTGCGGGAAGGGGCGGGTGGGCCATGGCGGAGAAGCCCCGCTGGCCCCGGCTGCCCCTCCCCGCCGCCCGGCTCCCGGGCCCCGTCCTGCCCTGCCTCAACTGTGGGTGCGCGCAGGGGGGTCCTGGCGGTGACCCCAGGGGTGCCCGAGCAGCCCGGCCGCAGGCAGGGCCAGAGCGCCCGCCCCCTGGAGTTTGCCCGGGACTCGACGCCTGCCCAGGGTGGGGCCGCAGGCCGGGGTGGGGCCGTTACCTTTCCACACGGCCCGCCGGAGCAGTGCACACGGGCCGCCAGCGTATTTAACAGGCCTCCCAGCGCCTCCCGGTCCAGAGTGCCCCGGCCCGCGGCCAGCAGGGGCAGCAGGCGGGCCGGCTGGGCAGCCGCGGTCACGGTCACCACCAGCGCGGCCAGCAGCAGCCCCCTGGGGAGCCGGGCCGGGCCGGCCATGCCGAGCGGTGGCTGTGCTGGGAGGCAGTGCGGGCAGCTGTGCGGCGGGGCTGGGCCGGGACGCACCGGCCGGCCTCCTCCAGGTATCTCCTGCGGCCCTGTGATTGGCTGCGGCCAGCCACTCAGGGACAGGTCCTCCCCGCGCCCAGGGCCAGGGCCGGGCCCCTGCCGCCGGCCCCTCCCCTCGGCCCTCCGGGCCGCTGCAGGCAGCACCCACCCTGCCGACCCCTCAAGGGCACCCCGTGGGGGCTGGGTGGGGCAGCACGCTACGGGGACACCCGCTGCGGTCGCCCAGCAGTGGGCAGGAGTCTCGGGGTAAGCGAGGATTGGGGGGCCTGCAGGGGCCTTGGGGCTCTCGTTTGTGACCTGCTTTTGTGGGCTTTTCATGTCTGGGGGTTCGGATTGGGTCCATCACCTGCTGGGGTGTCTGCTCAGGCGTTGACCTTTGACCCAATGGTCAGAGATGGGGATAAGGCCAGGTTTGCACAGTGGCCTTGTCAACCCCTTTGTTGAAACCCCCCCCACCCCAGAGCCCGGTGTTGGGCTGGGGGTGGGCTCAGCTTCCAACCTGAGGCCTGATCCCCGCTGCTCTGGCCCTCCCCTCCCAGCCTTGGCTCCATTCTTGGGTCCAGGGGGTGGGTGGGGGTGGCTGCCGGCCTCTCCTGGAGCTGGGGGGCCGGCCCCACCCCTGGGAGCGCTCCCAAGAACAGCCCCAAAGGGGTCTGGGCCCGACCCCCAGCTCTGGCCTGGAGGTGAGTCTGCACTGCCTGGCAGCTCTGGGGGCAGCGAGCAGGGGTGGGCTGTGGCCGGCTGAGGCCCCAGCCTGATTGTGCACTGGCCTTTGAACCTTGCGCTCTTTATCTGCAGGCTGGAAGCCTCGGGGAGAGGCGGCCTCAGGACTGGGCACCTGCCCTCTGGAGGGGCCTGTGCCAGCCCCCCACCTGACTCAGCCCCAGGGGCGAGGGGAGGGCGGGGCTGGAGGTGAAGACTCTGTCCTCAGCACCCTGGGGCCAGCACCTCTGCTCACACCCCACCCGGGCTGGAGGGCACCTGCAGGGGACATGCCTGGTGCTCAGGGAGCCCCATCCTAGGGTGGACTGAAGAGCCTGCCTGAGGGCTGTGGCCATGGCCAGCGGGGGCGGGGAGGGGGGCTGGGGAGACTGGGCCCCTCAAGTTCCAGCCCTTTCCTCCCTGCACTGCGCAGGACTGGCCCCCAGGCCCTGGCTCAGGTCCGCTGTTTCCCCTCTGGGTAAGTCCTGGCCGCCTTGGGGCTCTGCGGGGTGGGGGGGGGCAGGGAAGGTTCTGGGCTTCACCCCACACCCAGCCTCCTCCCACCTGCGGGTCTGCTAGACCTAAGCGGCCTGCTTGGCCACCATTTCTCTTACCCGCGGGTCTGCATTCCTGCACAGGGTCAGAACTGCCCAGTCAGTCATAAGGGCCCGACCTTATGCCTTTTGTGACCACCCCAGGAAGGCCGTGCCTCACGAGGAGTGACCGAGAACGCCCTGGGGGCCGTTGGCTGATGCCCGGCAAGGAACCTCAGGAGCTGGTCAGTGGACATCCTACTGATAGATTGGCCTGTATGGGATTAACTCAGGACATCATTTCCCCGTAACAGAACCATGACCGGAGCCCTGGGGTCTGGTTTCGATTACAACACTCGGCCATCAAGCAGATAAGAATTATCTGGTCTGGGCCTCCCTGGGGGCACGGGGGTTGAGTCTAGGGCTATCAAGCCATCAGCAGCCACCGTGGCAGGAGTTCAACCCCCAGCCAGGGAGCCGGCCCACAGGGCGCACCCTCGGCAGTGTACTTCAGTTCTGTTCCCCACTCTGGGGAGTTCTCTCACCCCCTCCCTGGCCTGCACCCCCATTCTTGGATACATAAATAAAATAAATCTGAGGGCCTCCCCTGGTGGTGCAGGCGGTTGAGTGCCGTGCTGTGAAGCTGTCCGCAGCCTCTGCAGCACGGGATCACTCCTGGCCGACCGGGCGAGGGTCCCACAAGGCGAGCAAACCTCTCCTGTCTCCCCGCTGCTCCCTCAGCAGTGTATTTCAGTCCTTCTGCCTGTTCTGCTCCCCGCGCTGTCTCTGGTGAATCCTCACACCCTCCCACACATCTGGCCTGCACCTCAGTTCTTGTGTAAATGAATAAAGAAACCTTAAAAAAAAAAAAAAATCAGAAAAAAAAATCATCTGACCAGCAGAACCCCGACCCCACAGAGGGCAGCACTCTCTGTCCCCCCTCCCCCCACCGGGCCTGTGTGATCCTGGTAGCACAGGGGCCAGGCCTGCTCCCCCAGTGTTCTGCACCCCACAACTGCTCCGTGCCTGTCAGCGTGGCGTAGCCCATGCAGCGCCATCTGCACTGTCCCATTCACAGCTGCCCAGCGGGACACAATGCTCCAGCTGTTCAGGGAAGGGCAGCGTCCAGGGCAGAGCAGCTGGAGCAGCAGCCCAGGAGGGGCTGAGGGGCCTGGGGCAAAGGCTGCAGGCCCCAGAAGGGGGCGGAGTCCAGGCTGCGGCTGGGAGGGGCGGGCCCCCTCAGGGCCAGGGTCCAGTTTGGGAGCCGGGAAGAGGCTGCGTGCGGGTGCGCGGGTGGGGCCTGTGCCCTGTGGACAGCAGTAACTGCCCTCTGCTCCTGGGCCGCACCAGCCCCCCTCTGCTGGCCACGCTGTCCCACATGCCCACCTCAACGCACTGGCCTTGGGGCGAGCTCTTGGCCCCTGGCCGGGCTCCTACCCCCAGCCTGTCCTATGGCTCCTGCTGCCTCTTGCCAGCACCCACGTGGCTGCCCGACCTGCCACCTTGCAGGCTGGGGCGAAGCCCTGAAGCTTCTGGAGCTGCACAGGCCCTCCTGCTGCTGCCCGCCACTCCCTCCCGAGACACCAGTGACCTCCCGCACCACCTCTCCTCCCTCTGCCCGCAGGCCCATCACTCCTGGACAGCTGACCTGAGAAGCCTGTGCTTGTCCTCAGGCTCTGGAACCCACAGAGACCAAAGCGCACCCCTCAGCACCCCTGTCCTATAACCACAGACACCCCGTGGCCACAACCGCCCCACCATCAGAGCTGCCGATCCAGCCTCCCCGGAGCAGGACCTGGTGGCCACCAGGCGGGACCCTCTGGGCGCCCATCAGCACTGGCCAGGCCAGGAGGGCTCTGCTGGAAGGGCTGCAGCCCAGCCAGGTCAGCACGGAGAAGGGGCCCAGTGCTTTGCGCTCTCAGGGAGTACGGCCCTGCAGGACTGGGCCCCACCTCGCACAGGTGTGTCAGGTGCTCGCTTGCTTGGCCAGTGCCCGCCGGAGAGGCCACCTCCTGGAAGCTGGCACCGGGCCTCCCTGTCGCGTGGGCGCTGAGAGCAGACGGCAGCTGGGGGGGCAGGTCAGGACAGCCTTTATTGGGGGGTGCGGGGGCAGACGGGACACACGCACAGGCCACGGGGAGCAGGAGCAGCGTCAGGCGTGCAGGAAGCGGTTGAAGGCGTTGTAGGCCGACTCCAGGTCGAAGAGCATCTGCCGCACCTGGGAGTCGTCCAGTTCGTCCGCCGCAGACATGCCGCTCAGGGTCTGCAGCCTGGGGGCGCAGGGCCGGCGCTCAGCGTCCGTCCGAGGGGGCAGCGGCAGGCGCGGGAGGACAGGTGTGGGGCACTCACCACTGGCTGACGGTCTGCCGGCCCTCGAAGTCGGGTGGCAGGTGACTCATGCGGTGCATAGTCTCCATCAGCTCCCGCAGGTCGGGCTGGATCTGCAGACAAGGAGGCTGGGTGGGGCGCACCCCCAGCCCCCAGGGTACACCTCTACCCAGAGCAGCTCCCCAGACCCCGCCCTGCCCCGCCCCCAGGGCGCACCTCGTCCATGGCGCGGATCTCCAAGCGCAGCTTGTCCATCACGGTGATGAAGAGCTGCGGGCGGGGAGTGTATGAAGCCCCACCCGGCCCGGCGCGGGGCACCAGCACTGGGCAGGGGCCAGGTTGCTCTGCAGCTGGGCCCAGGCCAGTCCTCGCAGCCCTGCCCGCCCTCCCTCCCGCACTGCCTTTGCCTGCTGGCGTGGGGCCACCGCTGTTCAGGGCCCTCGGAGCTGGGCGGAACGGGGACCCCACCGGAGGCCAGAAACCGGCCATCCTCCTCGCTGGGGCTGGGGAGGGGCCTCAAGGGGTGGCTCGGACAGTCGGGAAGGCCCGGGGCGGGAGCGCCGCCCACCGAGACCACGTCGGCGATGCAGCGGTTGAGATTGCCTTTGTCGTCCTTGATGGTGATGGGCCGGTCCTCCTTGATCCTCTCCATGGCCAGTGGGCAGTCCAGCTGCGGGGCGAGGGGGTGAGCGCTGGCCAGGCCTCTCAGGCGCTGCGGCCCGCCCACCCCCGCAGCTCACTCACGCGGAACTTGCGGCAGAAGTCGTCGATGGAGCTGACCTCCGAGCCCTGGACCTGCCGGAAGGCGGCCTTGTACTGGACCAGGAGCCGCGAGCAGGCCGCCGTGTACCTGCGGGAGGCAGCCCTCAGCGCCCCTCGCCGGGCCACTGCGCTGCAGGCGGCTCAGAGGGGCGGCCCCTGGCGACCGCCCTCCACAGCAGCAGCTCCGCGGCCAGTCGCCCCTCGGGCCTCCCGGGCGGCACCCCAGGACCACGGCCGCGGCCCACCTCCCCCGCCGGGGCGCGGCGTGCCCCCAGCTGGCCCGGGGGGCGGGGGGCGGGCAGCGGGCGGGCCTCACTCGTTGGGGGTGACGCAGTCCTTGATGTACGCCTTCTCCAGGGCCTGCATGGTCTTCACCACCGCGAACAGCTCGGCCATGTTGTCGTACCTGAGGGGAGGCGTGGGTGGGCCTCGGCCGGGCGGCGGCCGGCGGGGCCGGCCTGGGCCCGGGGAGGTCGCGGCCCGGCGGGGTGGGGGGCGCAGGCAGGGCTGAGGGGCTCACTTCTCTCGCTCCCGGGCGTTCTTGTACAGCTTCACTTCCTGGGGGGAGACCCGTGGGGTGTTGGCGGAGCCCCGCAGGGGGGCCCCGGGCCCCGCCCCGCCCCACTCACCTCGTACAGCTCCGGCTTGTTCCCGGGGGCTGCGGAGCAACACAAGAGGTGGGCGGCCGCTGGGGCTCCGCCCCTCCCCCCTGGGCAGCGGCGCCCCCAACCCCCTGGGCAGCAGCGCCCCTCGGGCGCCGACCTTCGCAGGGGACTCGGGCGGGGCGCCCGCCCAGCCAGTCCCGCTGCGGGAAGCCGGGACCCCGTCGGTGGCACCAGCCCCCGCCGCCCCCTGCCCGGGCCCTGCTCCCGGGGCTCCGCGCCCGAGGGCCCCCGGCAGCCGCCGCCGCTCACCTCCCATGCCCGGGGCGGCGGGGATCCCGTGGAACATCCCGTGCGCTCGGGACAGCAGGAGCCTGGGGAGCAGAGCCCGGCGCGCTCAGGGGGCCCCGGCGCCGGCCCGGGCGCGCCAGGACGAGGGAGCGGGGGGGGGGGGCCGGTCTCGCGCCGCGGCGGGGCTGCGGGCGGGGGGGGGGGGGCGGCGGACACCCGGCGCGCGGCGAGGGGCGGCCGGGCCGGAGGGGACGCGCCCATCCGGGCGGCCCGCACCACACGCAGGGCGGGCGGCGCCCGCGGGACTCGGGTCGCGGGCTTTGGCCTACGTCCCCCCGGGCCGGCAGACGGGGCCCGAAGCGGGGTGCGAGCCCCCCGCCCCCCTCCGGGGCCCGGTACCTGGGCGCGCGGCCTCCCGAGCAGGCGCTGCCGTCTGCGCCTGCGCGCCCCGCCCCCTCAACCGCATCCGCGCACGCGCGCCCGCCCCCTGCGCATGCGCGCCCCGCCCCGCCCGCCCCCCCAGCGAGACGGCAGCCGGCGGCGGGTCAGCGTCCGTTTATTGGGGGGCGGGGGGGGGGCGGTCACAGGCGCCGGAAGAAGAGGCGGGGGCCGCGGTCCAGCGAGGGCCCCGGCGGCAGCTGGCGCAGCGCGTCGCGGTCCTCGGCGCAGAGGTGGCGGCTGCACAGCTGCAGCTCCCGCAGCCGCGCGCCCGCCTGGGCCCAGAGGCCGGCGCCCAGCGGGCCCCGCACGGCGCAGCCTGCGGGGAGGGGGCGTCAGCGCGGGCGGGGCGCGGGCAGCCGCCGGAGGCCCGCACGCCCACCCCAGCCCTGTCCCGGGGCCGCCGTGCCGACCAGGCAGTGGCCAGGGCGGCGCCCACAGGGGCCACGCCAAGGGCCCAGCCCGGGCACCCCCTTGCCCGTGGCCGCCCACGCGGTGTCGGGTCTGCGGACGGGCCAGAAGCAGAGTCCCCGAAACGGGCTCACGTCCCTCCCTGAGGCCAGTTGCCCGCTGTGTCACCCCAGAAGGTCCCCTCAGCCCAGCACCCCCTCACCTGCCAGGCTCAGGAAGCGAAGGCCCCTAGGCCGCTCCTGCAGGGCAGAGAGGAGCCCCTCCAGGCCAGCCCGGCCAACCTCAGGGTTGGCTGACAGGTCCAGCGAGGCCAGGGAGGGGCAGCGCGGGAGACATCTGTGGCAGGGGCAAGTGCAGGGTCAGCTCCCAGGGGAAGGCCCAGGCCAGGGCCCCCACGAAGCGCTACTCAGCCCAGGGTCAGGCCTGGGGGGCAGGAGAGGGGTGCCAGGCAGAGCCCCTGGAGGGAGGAGCAGGGAGGGTCCAGATGCCTTGGGGAGGGACAGGCATCTCCCTATCCACCCCGCAGCCTGGGACGACGAGCATTGTTACCTGCTCAGGTGCCCCACAGCCTCGTCACCCAGGTGGTTGGCAGACAGACTCAGGTGCTCCAGGGCACAGGTTTCCTGGGTGGAAGCAGAGGCCCGGGTTCAGGGCCCAGTGGGGCGCCTGTTCCCTGCCCCCTAGCAGAGGCCCCACAGTCAGGAGATGCTCTTTGAAAATGAGAAGCACTAGCTGCTGCACCCCATGAGTCAGGGGGCCCAGCATCCCCTCAACTAGCAGAGCTCAAGGAAACGCTGCCAGGCATCGCGCGCACATGGCTCAGCAGGGCCCCCCACGAACCCTCCGGATGCTGCAGGAGGGATGTGCTGCCCAGGTGGGTGCCCCTCAGGGACAGAGCCCCTGCAGCTCTCCCCACAAACCTAGATACTCTCCTTGGCCTGCCCTGCCCCCACACACCTGGCTCAGGTATCTGACCAGCGGCTCCACCAGGCCGGAGTCGCCCCTGCCGGCGGCCACAGCGCTGAGCTCCAGGCGCAGGAGGCTGCGGGCTGGCAGGCTCTGCAGGGCCCGGGCCAGGGCAGTGCCCCCCAGCATGTTGTAGGACAGCGTAAGGGATTTCAGGCATGAGGCACCTGTGGGACCAAGGCTAAGTCAGCCCTGCCAGTCAGGGCCCCGAGCCCCCCCACCCTCAGGACCTCACCCTACACTCCCGCCCCGGCACGGCGGACTGGGCACAAGGCTGTCTGCGCCGGGTGGTCTGTGGGGGCTGCTGGGGGAGGCAGACCAGCCCACCGCCCTCTCAGCCCCAGGCCCCGCTTCCTGGCCACCACCTGCAAAGCCACCCCCATGACCCCAGCCTCTTGGTCCTGGGACATGCCCTCTGCAGCCCAGGCAGACTCCACTCAGGCAGAGGATGTCCACCAGTGCTCAGGGTCCTGGCTGGCTGCCCACAGCCCTCACCCTGGAAGGTGCTGTGCAGCGCCGCATGGTGGCGCAGGAAGAAGCTGGGGCCAAAGCCACAGGCCTGGAGGTGCAGGTTGCTGAGTGAGGGGCAGGAGTGCAGGATGGCAGCTAGAGCCTGACCACAGCTGTCCCCCAGCGGGTTCATGCTCAAGTCCAGCTCCTCCAAGTTCTGTGGGCGAGGATGTGACCTCTGTTCACATGGGCAATGGCCAGCTCTCCCAGCAGCTGAGCACCCAACCCCAGCTACACTCCAGGGCGCCCCGCCTCGCACGGCCTCTACCTGCAAGGCAGCCGGCCCTGCGAGGCCCTCAGCCAGCTGACGGAGGCCTTCCGGGCCCAGGTGGTTGGAAGAGAGATCAAGCAGGGTCAGGCTGGGCATGGTACCCAGGGCGGCCAGGAGCTCAGGGGCACATCCGTCCCCCAGGCGGTTCCCCGCCAGGCGCAGCTCCCGCAGCTCGGCTTGCAGCTTGAGGGATCGCAGCAGAGGGGTGAGCTGGGCTGGGCCCAGGGCCAGGGAGCAGGCGCCGAACGCAGGCCCAGAGCCCTGGCACTCCACGGCCCGCAGCACCTGTGGGTGCTCCCCTGCCAGGGGGGGGGGGGGGTGGGTCGTCAGCAGGGCTGGGGCTGCCTGCTCCACCCGTGCGTCCTGGCCAGGCTGGCGGTACCCCAAGATCAGCCCAGTCCCCGGCCCACTGGTGAGCATGTCGCACCGTGTCCCGGGGAGCTTCGGTGGCCCAGTGTCCAGTCCTGGCAGCCTGTCCAGTCCTGGTGGCCATCCCATCTTCCAACGGGTCATCTCCCCCCTACCCCCCCAGCCAGGTGATGCCAGGGTGGCTGAAGGACAGGCACAGGGGTGCGGGACAGACGCCAGATCAGGGAGCCCCGAAACTTAGGCACGGCAGTCATGTGGGTGCCCGCTGCTCCCTGACCCCTGCCAGGAAACACCGGCCCTACCTTGCCCCAGGCTCTGGCAGGCCCTGCGGTAGCGATCAGTTAGCAGGGGCAGGTCCCATGAAGTCACCTCAGCCAACACCTGGAGAGCACGCGGGTCAGCAGTGGGCCAGCAGCGGGCCAGCAGCAGGCACCGCCTCGGCCGCTCACCTCCTCGTTGCTGCGTAGCACGTCAGGGACGGGGTCCTGTGGCGCCAGCAGGGCCCCTTCCTTGCGCAGGCTGAGCCTTGGCAGCAAGCCACATGCCTGGAGGTAGCGCTGGGCAGCCTGCTCGGCCAGCCAGGCCACAGAGCGGGGCTCGCTGTAGGGATACAGCACATACTGGCTGGCCCCACAGCCTTCCCAGGGGCCAGGGCACACCCCCCAGGAGCTGCCCGCGGGGTGGGGAGGGCACCTGCCATACCTGTGTGGGACGGGGACGAGGAAGACATTGTCTTGGACTCTAACTCGGACCCGGAGAGGAGGGGGCGGGGCGGGGCCCTGGCAGGCAGGGAGAGAAGTGCTGAGTTGGGAGGTCAGCCCCGCCCTGCCCAGCGGCGCTCTGGCTCTGCTTCCGCACCCACCGAGGACTGGCTGGCCGCAGCAGTGGAGCACTCTCCGTCGGGCACGTCGAGGCTCTGGAGGGGGCCTGTGGCCGAGCTACCACCTATACCTGTGCTGGCTGGGCCGCTCCCCATCTTGAGGCAGGCAGGTCGCCTCCGCCTGGGCCGGGCCCGCGTCCTCACTGGGCTCTGGGGGCTGGCTGGGCGGTGGCCACGGGGTGGCCCCAAGTCGTCCTCCAGCCAGTCCCCAGCCAAACTCTCCTCCTCAGGGATGAGGGCCCCGCCAAGGCCTCGCTGAGGGCTGGGCCCCAGGTGACCGCTTTGGGCACTGCCCACACCTCGGCCGGATGCCGGACAGGCTGCTGGGTCCACACTTGCCGTGGCCGCCTCCCTGTGGGCGGCAGGGCCAGGTGCCTGGGCGCCGGGCCGGGGCCTCTTGGGGGCCGGCCAGGGAGACCCCGTGCTGTCATCCTCCGAGCCGCTGCTGTGGGCCACTCTGCGCCAGCTCCCCTGAGGCCTGCCCACAGCTGGCTCTACCTGCCCCCGGGAAGCCCAGGCCCGAGAGATCTCTGGGGGTCCTGGGCAAGGGCCCGGGGGCGGAGAGGTCTCAGGGTCAAACAGCGCCTGACTTGGGGGACTCTGCGGGGCTGAGGACAGACAGACATGCCGTGAGACAGGGCGAGGCAGGGCAGGGCAGGGCCATCCACCCACCCGCGCCCACCGGGGACAGCCCCACTTGCCAGGGTCCGAGCTGGCTGCCCGCAGCAGCTGCTCCATGGAGCTGGCCTTCGCCCGGGTCTCCGGGTCCAACTCCTTATGGTACAACTGCACCCAGTGCTGCAGCGTATCCAGCGGGCGGTGGCCCTGCATGAGACCGAGTGAGTGGGCCGCAGTGTGGCGAGCCAGCCCGGCCCAGCCCAGCGCGCCCGGCGGTGCCCACCTGCTTGGTGCGGAGGGAGAGCGAGGCGCCCCGCGCCACCAGCAGCTCCGCCACCTCGAAGTGGCCACAGGCGAGGGCGTCGTGCAGGGGCGTGATGCCCTCGCAGCCCTGGCCGCCCGGGTCGTCCAGCGCGGCCCCGTGGTCCAGCAGGAAGCGCACGATGTCTGCGGGCAGGGCAGTGAGGGGGCGTGGGGGCACTGGGGTGTGCTCCCCCCACCCCCCTGCACCCCCACTCACCCAGGTGGCCGTGGTTGCAGGCCTCGTGCAGGGGCGTCCAGCCGCAGTAATCCCGGGGGCTCAGAGGGTGGCCCTGGGACGGGCGGGAGAGAACCATGGCCTCGGAGTCAACTCCACAGAGGACCCGGCCCATCCCCTGCCAGGCCCGGGGTCCTGGGGGGTCCCACCTGCCGCACAAGGTCCTGGACGCGGCCCAGCCGGCCCTCAATGCAGGCGCGGTGCAGTGGTGTCTCCCCCACATCGTTGCGCCGGCTCCACTGGGGACACAGGAGCCCGGTGGGGTGAGGAGCGGGGGGAGGGATGGGGGGGAGGTGCAGGCCTGCCCAGCCCTGACCGCACCTTGGCTGCCATCCTGCGGCGGGGCAGCAACTCCTCCTCCTCCTCCAGCCGCGGGGAGTCGCGTCCGGTCTCTTCCTCTGAGGACAGCGCGGAAGGTCAGCCCCAGGGCCCGAGCGTGTGGTCAGCCCCAAGCCCCCCCCCCCCGCCCTCTGCCCCCACAGCCTGGTCCGCCAAGTCACTCCTCTGCTGGAAGCAGCCGCCCCGGGGCCCCCACCCACAGCACCCCGCCCAGCCCCCCCAGAACCTTCCCCTTTATGGTTTCCTGTCCATGACCTCCTGCCCACGCCCGCCTGCCCCAGGGCCACCAAGCGACTCCCGAGAGACTGGAGACTCTCCCACACCGGCCCTGGTCTCAGCGCAGTCCTGTCCCCGTGCCGACCCCACGGCCTGCAAGGACGCAGCCCGAGCCCCATCCACCCAGATGCCTGCTCCCAGCCGAGCTCACCAGCCTCCGGGGGGACCCGTGCTGAGACCTCGGTGGAGCCCAGACCCCCTTCCCAGCCACGCCCCAGGCTCCCTCAAGCGCCCCATTCCTGCCAGGCGGCCAGGGGAGGGGCACAGGCAGTGCCCGCCCTCACCGCTCTCCGAGAGCTCCACCTCGCTGGTCTCTGGGGAGTCGCCGTCCCCCTCGTCCCCCTCGTCCTCCTCGTCCTCCTCGTCCTGCCCGGCGGCCGCACTCAGCTCCTGCAGCTGGGCCTCGGTGCTGGGGGCCTCCTGCGGCCGCAGCTTTAGCTGCACGTGGTGGAAATGCTGCAGGATCTGCCTCTGAGGGGCAAGGAAGCTGCTCAGGGCCAGGGAGCGCCAACCCTGGTGGGCGGGCAGGCAGGGGGGTGCAGGCGAGCAGGGGGGCGCGGGCGGGTTCTGCACCTGCAGCCGGGGCTGCAGGGCCTGCTGGGCGCAGTCGAGAGCCTTCTGGAAGCATGGGGCCAGCAGCTCATAGGCGTCACCAGCCTCCTCTTGGGACAGCGCGATGTTCAGCCAGGTCTTGGCCTCCTGGAGGAGTATGGGGGCCGGGGCCCGGCTGTAGGAAGCAGGAGGGGCCGGGCGGAGACACAGGCCAAGGGGCAGACCTCACCTCCAGGGCATTTCCCGCCCGCAGCCGCAGCTCCTCCCTATAGTGATGCACGGCTCCTCGCGGGTCCTTCATGTCCCCCAAAGTGGTAGCAAGAGACACGTGGATGACGGCCAGCTCGGGCCCTGGCCTGCTCAGCAACTCTGCAAAGCGCAGCTAGGAAATCCGTGCCAGTAAGGACCAGAACCCTGGCTGCCCACCTGGCCGCCTGCCTGCCTGGATGCCCACCTGCTGCTGGTAGGCCTCCGCTGCCCTGGGGAAGTCGCCCGCCTTGGAGAACAGGTCCCCCAGCTGCTCCCAGATGCCCATGGCGCCCTGAGCGTCATTGGCCTCCGCCTCCTCTAGCTGCTGCTGCAGCCGGACCACAGCCAACACTGCCAGAAAGAGCGGGGGTCAGCCCGTGCCCTCTGCCAGCCACCTCCCGCTCTCCTCACATAGCTCGGAAGGGATATGAGAGCGCCTGCCTCAAGGCTGTACCACACAGGGAGAACTGAAAATCTACAGCCCGGGGCAGTGCCTGGCCCCCGCGGTCAGGCCCCGTCCCCCCATGACACACAATTGCGGAGCAGTGCAGATGTTGGCTACGAGCCAAGACCCAGCCAGTCTCCTGACCAGCCGCAGCTACTCTCCTACTCAGGCTTGGGGCTCCCTCCCTGCCACAACGCGGCTGCCTGCTCACCATGCCGGAGGGCCCGGCCCACGACGGCCTTCTGTGCTGGCTTCTGGGGGCCCAGCCGGTAAGCTTTCTTCAAGACTCCCTTAGCAGCCACAAAGTCCCCCACGTCCTGGAGCACCTGCAGAAAAAAGCGAGCCTGGCAAAACCCGGACTCCTCCCCCCTACTGTGCCCATGCACCTGCACCAGGAGCAGGTGGCTGCCACCCCCACGCACCTGTGCCAGGAGCAAGCAGCAGTCGCTCTCCATGCCGGCCCTCCTCATGGCCCGTGCACACTCCCGGGCCCCCTCCAGGCAGCGCAGGGCCTGTGAGGGCCGACCCCCGCGCCAGTGCAGGGCACCCAGGTTGTAGCGCGCCCGGAACAGGTCCTCATAGAGGTGGTTCTGCCTGCAAGAGAACTAGCCTGAGCACCACCCCGACCGCCACCCCCTCCCCGCCCTGTCCCACCTAAGCGGTGGCTCACTCTGCCAGGAAGACGCTCTTGCGCAGGAAGTCCCGGCACAGAGCGGGCTCCTGCAGGCTCTCGAAGGTGAGGCCCAGGTTCAGGTACAGTCGCGTCCTCATCTCGCTCAGCTCACGCTGGGCCAGCGTCCCTGGGGACAGCCCACGCCACACTGGGTCCTCCAGGCGGCGCTCTACCAGCCCCGCTGCCTCACACGGAGGGGACAGGAGACAAGAGGAGGCGGCAGGCCTGCTAAGCAGGGAGGCCAGGGCAGGGGCGGTGGGGGTGGTGGCCGCGGTCTGCCCCGTGTGGGGTGCAGGCTTGGGCCCAAGGGTGCTCACCCTCCAGCTCCCGGTCCACGATGGCCAGGCTCCTCTCGAAGGCGGCCCGTGCCTGCAGCAGGGCATCCTGCGACTGCTGGTGATCGTAGACGTCCAGGTGGGTGCGGCCGATGGTGGCCCAGGCCCTCTGCAGCTCCGTGGGGTTGGACAGAGACTCAGCCAGCTCCAGGTAGCGGTGCTGGTGCTGGAGACAGGCGGGGCCACCGCAAGCTCGTCCCGACTGCAAACACCCAGCTGTCTCCCGACTCCAGAAGCTCTACCCTCGCCCGGTGAGCTCCACGCTCCCCCAAAACCCAAAGGACAGCCCAAGTTGGACGACTCATTCCCCACGCCCCCAGCTGCGCAGTGTCGTGGGGGGGTCAGAACAGCGGTGAGCACGCTCTGCCCCAGAACAGGGCCGGGCCGGGCCGGGGCCGACGCCCACCCCCACCCCCACCCCCAGCCAGCACGGGACCGGCTCAGCAGGTGCGGGGCTGTGCGCGGGCACCCCCCGGGGCGCAGGCCGCCCTCTGGGGGTCGCGGGGTCGCGGGGGGCGGTGCCGGCCGCGAGCGCCCACCTGCAGCGCGGCGGGGTAGTCCTCCATCTCCGCCAGCCGCTCTCCGATCTTGCGGTGGGCCACGGCGCAGCCCAGGGCGTCGCCGGCGCCCTCCAGGAGCAGCAGCTCCCGCCGGTGCTCCTGCAGGGCCTCCGGGTAGCGGCCTGGGGGCACCAGGCCTCTGTCGGCGGGCAGCGGCCAAGGGCTGCCTGGCCGGGTGGGGCCGCCCGGAGGCTCCCAGTATCCCGGCCGGGCCGGGGCGCCCTCCTTCCCCGGCCCCCGCCCGCGCCCGGCCCCCGCCCGGCCCCCGCCCGGCCCCCGCCCAGGCCCCGCCCCGCCCCCAGCCCAGGCCCCGCCCCCAGCCCGGCCCCGCCCCACGCGCGCCCAGGCCCCGCCCCCGCCCGGGCGTCGCTCGCACCATGACCGGCCAGGAGCTCCCCCAGCTGGTGGCAGAGGGCGGCCTCCTCCCGCGGCTGCCCACTCCTCTGGGCCTTGGCCTTGGCCTTGGTCAACTCTGCAGAGAGAGGAGAGAGTCCGGGGGGCTGACCCCTCCCCGCGGGCCACCGCCCGGGGCCGCTCGCCCGGCCCCGACGCTCACCGCGGAGGTCGCGCTCCAGGCTCATGGTCCCGCCGCGCGGCGCCGACTTCCCGCGCTCCCGCGGCCCCGCCCACCCGCCGCCCGCGGAGCACGCCGGGAGGTGTGGCCCGCCCGTCGCTCGCGGAGCACGCCGGGAGGTGTGGCCCGCCCGCCGCCCGCGGAGCACGCCGGGAAGTGCGACTCGCCCGCGGCGCATGCCGGGAGTTGTAGTCTGGGGCCACCGGGGTCGGCCGGCGAAGGACTCGCGAAGTCCTGGGCCGAGCGGCCGGAAGGTGTGCGGAGAGCGCAGTGGGGTCGGGGCCGAGAGGGTTAGGGTCCTCGGCTACGGGCCCTCATGCAACACCTCAGGCAGGTGCCACTTGGCTGGGCGGGTGCCGCGTCGCGTTCGTGGAGTCGGACGTCCCCGCCCTTGCGCGGAAGCCCCTTCTTTTGGGGCGAGGGGGTGTCTCATGCGGGCGGCACGGAACCACCTGTCGGGTCGCGGCGGGAATCGAGCAGCGGACCTGCCCCTGCTGCCTGGGCGCCCACCACCCCCAAGGCCTGCTGGGCTGAGCCTGAGCGTGCGTCCGGCGCTGGGCGGGGGAGGCTGCCCGTGGTCAGTGTGCAGGCCACGGAGGGAGCCAGGGTGCTGCCCCGGGATGCAGGGGCTGCGGCCTGAGCGGCAGGGCTGGGAGGGTTGGATTCGGAGGGCGCCTTGACGAGTGAGGTGCTCTGTCTACACCCGCCAGCCTTGGAGTTAGGGGCAGGCCAGGGGAGACCAGCCAGGTGGGCAGCCCCTGCCCCCCGGATGGTGGGGTAAGCAGCTCAGCCCAGGTCCTGGGGCCTGGTTTACCTCCACAGAGGATTCAAGGTCTCCGTGCCTCAGTTTCTCCACTGGTCAGACGGGCACGTACATGAGACGGTGCCAAGATGGACAGCCCAAGGAAGTCCACCTCCGGAGCTGTCTTGTCTCCAAAGAAAGCACGGAGCGTGGTTTGGGATTTTAAACCATTGTTACAAACAGAAAACGTCCCAAGAGCACACAGACCACGAAGACGAGTCATGTCCGACATCGGCAAAAACACCTCTTGCTCTGCTCTTTAAAAAATTAATTTTATTACTTTCTGTAAGTGTCTCACTTTGGGCGAACTGAGGGAGGATGCCCGTGGGGTGGGGAAGCGGAGGGGCGGCCCCCACCTGCTGGGCTGGGCCCCCACGCGCCCCCTCAGGGGAGAAGTGAAGGGCCAGGCCAGGGTGACATGGCCTGGAGGCAGGTTGCTGGGGTCTTCCTTTTTGCAACCATGCATGGGACACGCCCAGAAATCTCAGCCCCCAGCTGGGGGACTCACCCATCTCCCGGCTTTCAGGCTCAGCTGTGGTGGTGACGGTGATGGGCACAGGGCTCCCACGACTCCCACGGGACCCCCAGGCAGGCTGTGCCCACTGGGCAGGCTGAGCACAGGCTGCAGACGGCCCCTCCGGTCTTCCCAGGCCTGGGCGTGGCCAGGGAGCTGGGCCGCACTCCTCTTCTTGGGGCTCCCTGCCTGGCCTTCCCAGGCCGCCTCTCCCCATCCCCCCAACACAGGCAGGGGCTCTGCTGAATGGCTCCGACACAGGTACTGGCCACTGGGCAGGCCCATGTCCAACCCCCTCGTCCCTGGATGCCGCCCCCCACCCGGGCAGTGGGGCTCGTGCAGGGTGTGCCCAGGATGTGCTAGGGCTGTGGGGTCTCCTGAGGGCAGAAAACCAAACAGCCCCAGGCACCTTCAGAAGCCAGGCCCCCCTGGCCTTGCAGGGGCGTCCCTGAGAAACCCAGGCCCGAGTGGGAGTAAACGGGGATCCTGGCAGGCCGCTCAGACAGGGGAGGCTGCGTTCGTTCGGCCCCAGCTCCCTGCCCCCACCCCAGCTGCCTGGGGGTGGGGGAGCCCAGGTGCATGCCTGGTCTGCGGGGCCACCTGGGGGCCGCTGGAGGCCTGCCGTGGCCAGGCCAGGGCCAGAGGAAACAGTTCTTTGGTATTGAAGCAACAAAAGCAGTGCAGGAGAGCGCCATGCCAATCCCCGTGGCGGCCAGGCTCTCTCCTTCCAGGGGCCCTGAGGGTCCTCACTGGCCTCCTCCCACCCTAGGCCTGCACTAGGAGGCTCCCCGCTGGGCCTGGGGCGGCTTGGCCTAGGCTGGGGGCCCACCTCTCCTGGGAAGAAAGCGCCTGCCCGGGGTGTCTGCGGGCCCTGGACTGCAGTGCCAGCCATGGGTCCCTGAGTGGGCGGGGCGGGGGCCCGCCTAGACCTAGGCCAGCCACTGGCTCCCCCCCCCCCCCCCGCGGCCTCTCCTCGGCCTGTGGACGCCGCTGCTCTGGCTGCAGACAGAACAGTTTCTTTTGCCAAGTCTGCGTGACTTACGGGAGAGCCCGCGAGTCTGATTTTCTCCTGGTAAGAGACAGAAATTCACCCTGCTTTCCGAAAACACCTGCCAGGCCCGTGGCCACGGCTGCCTCCCTGGGAGTGGCTGGGGCAGGTCCCCCGGGGGAGAGGGGGGCGCCCTGGGCTGCAGAGATGCCCCTCCCGGCCATGACCAGAGGCGGCGTCCGAGTCTCTCCTGGGGGTGCAGGTGCAGTGACAGAGACGGGGCGGGTGGGCTGTGCCCCCCAGCCCAACCCACGCTCCACGCCGTCCAATCACAGCCACGCCTCCAACAAGACAGAGTAGGAAACAGGGTGCCTTTTTAATAGCAATCAAATACGCCGTCTTGAGTCAGCAAGGCTCCTGAGTCCGGCCCGGGGCCTGGGCGGCCTGGAGCGGGCAGCGCGGGGCTGGCGGCCAGTAGGCCGGGCAGCCCGCGCGTGTCCCTGAGCCTGTGTCCTCTGCGTGGCCAGCCCCGCCCGGGCGGGAGGCGGGCGGCGGGTGTGCTCACGCGCTCGCACACACATGCGGCATCCCGGGTCTGCGGCGGGCGGCGGGCAGGGCCCTACTTCTGGATCTGGAAGAGGAAGAGCCGCAGGTTGATGTTCTTGGCGGCCAGCAGCTTGTTGCACTCCACGGAGTCGACGATGGGCAGCGGCACGTAGTCGGTCTCGTTGCTCTCGTTGGTGAAGACGAAGTGGTAGATGACGGGGCTGATCTGCACGTCGTCGTAGGGGCCCTTGAGCAGCAGGAAGGAGCACTCGAGCGGGGCGGCGGCCTTGCTCTTGAGCAGCAGCTGGAAGGAGAGCGTGCGCTTGCAGGACAGGTTGGGGTTGCGCTCCGAGTCGTTGACGCGCGCCTTCAGCACCCACGTCTGGTTCAGCACGGTGAACCGGGGCGTCTCGTAGTACAGGCGCGTGATGAAGTCGTCCGTGCGGTACGGCCGGAACTGGACCTCTGCGGAGACAGACAGGGCGCGAGGCGGCCGTCAGCGGGCGGAAGTGGGGGGCTCCGCCGGGCGCAGCCCCAACCAGACAGCAGCCAGCTCGGCCCAGGCTGCCCACCCCGGCCAGCGCGCGCGCCCACAGTCCGGGGCCCCACGTGGAGGAGGCTGCAGCCCGCCCCGGCCCGCCCGCCCACCCGGCCGGCCGAGGAGCGGCGGGCGGGGAAGCAGACACACAGACAGGAGCGTTCTGAGAACAATGCACTTTATTGGTTCCGATACAGAGCTGCGGGGCAGCGCGGGCGGCCGGCACTGTGGCCACAGTCCTCTCAGCGCAGCCCATGGCCAGCAAGTCCCTCCACAGAGACGGCCAGTCCTTTCCGCGTGCCGGGCTCCCTCTCTGGCCACCTGCGCCCGCCAGGACCCTCACGGCCCGGCCGGGCTGGCCTGCTTGTGCCACGGTGCCCCCAGCGGCCGGGCTGCCACGGACCAGGGCCCTGGCTGCTGCCGCCGAGGCCTGGGCTCTTGGCCTCTCAGGCCTGCGCAGCCCACCCCAAGCCAGGTCCAGAGGAGGCTGGATGGTGGGACTGGCTGCCCATGACTGCCCTTGATGCTGACTAGCCCCTGTGGGGCTAGGCAGGGAGAGGAAGGAGCCGCCCGAGGGCCGGTGCTGGCAGGTGTGGCTGCTGTCCTCTGCATGTGGGGCGGGCTCCGGTCCCGCTCCTGTTCCCCAGATGTCCCCAGCATGTCCAAAGTGGTGGCTGTGGCCGGGACAGGCCATGAGATCCAATGGGCCTGGTGCAGTCCGGCCTGCCCTTCTCTGGGCGTCCACTCCCGGTCAGCAGTTTCAGTCGGGCACCCTCGGCCTGTCTCGAGCCCTGGCCCTGAACAGCTTCTCGCTGGCCTCAGGAGGCCCGTGGTCACCGTGGTGACCGGCCATAGGCAGCCCCGACGTGCTGAGTCCTCTTCTGGGCCCCGGGCCCCGCAGGACAGGCCCCGGCCCTCAGGTCCCGCTACCCCCGCCCTCCGTGTCAGCCCCGACTGTCCCTCGGCGCTACAGCCGCAGGGAGAGCAGGTAAGGACGTGGGGCTTCGAGCCATGCAGATGCCCGGCCCTGCCCAACCCCACTCGGCCTCTGCTCGGCGCCCCAAGGCATCCTCCCAGATGCCCACCATCCAGCGCAGCCCGCGCCCATAGCCACCCACCTGCCCGCCCACCCGGCCCCAGCCTGCGGCATGCAGAGGGCGGCAGGGCCCCCTTACCTGTGTAGCCAATCTTCTCGAAGCTGAGCAAGCTGAAGATGCCGCTGTACAGCTGCAGCTCCTGGCGGTGGCTCTGGTCCATCCCGTCGAGGATCTCCATCAGCTCGCTGCCCGTCTTGGCCGGGTGCGTGCAGGCCGCCTCGTGCACCGTCAGCTCATGGAAGGGGCCGTGCCACGGGCAGCCGATGCGCTTGTACTTGCACTGGGTAACTCTGGGGGGCACACGTGGTCAGGGCTGGTGTGCGGGGGTGGGGGAGCCCTGCCCGGGGTCTTGGCCCTCGTTCCCGGGGAGCCCGTGGAGGACCGACCAGGGCAGCTGGGGCGGGGCGGGGCGAGCAGGCTGAGTGTCACCGCCCGCTGGCCGGGCCCCCTCCTGGCCGCAGCCTGGGCCGGGCCCCCGGGCTCCTGAGCTGGCCGTGCCCCCCCGGGATCTGGGGCTGGGAGCCAGGCCCACCCACGCCCACCTGTCCTGGCACTCCTCCCTCTGGTGCCGCTGCAGCAGGGCGCGGGGGAACTGGCGCAGGCAGAAGCCGCACTCGCAGGGCAGCTCGCTCACGGCCTTCTCCACGGCCAGGTTGCGGCAGCAGAGGCTCTTGCTGATCTCGCAGCGGCAATTGGGGCACGTGGCCTGCTCCTCCTTCAGCCGGGCATCTGCTAGTAGGTGGATAAAACAGCCAGCGCACATCAAGTGACCGTTAGTGCACTGCGGAAAAGAAAGGGAGGTGAAGCTGCGACCCGCACTGGCACCTGCGCCGCCGCCGGGGGCCGGGCCGGGCGCCCACACCACTGTGGCCTGGCTGGGCTGGGAGCCTGGCTGGGTGCCTGCTGCTGCTGGGTGGGGAAGCACCTCCTGGTCCTTCACAAAGGTCTCTGACTAACAGCACCGCTGGCTGCCAGTGAGCTAGGGCGGGCAGGGGCTGCTCGCCAGCACAAGGGAGGTAAGAGCGGGCCAGCGGGTGCCAGGCCCGCCCTTTAAGGCCACATGCGTGCGCCGAGGCTCCGGCCCCTCGGGCCCAACCTGCCCCCACCTGGGGTCGTTTGGCACCCGGGGGGCTGTGGTCAGCGTCCAGGGACCCGCTGTGTGGGGCAGAGGCGGGCTCCCGTGACAAGCCTCCAGAGCCACAGAGCACAGGCCCCCTTTGGGCCCAGCCCACACAGGCATGCGGAGCCTCGGCATACACCAGCCACTGGCGTTTGCTGCAGGGCCAGGCACAAGCTGAGATGCCAGGGGAGGCTGTGAGAGGGCTGTGCCTGGGCCAGCCGGGCTCAGGATGGGACGGGCGTGTGAGCTGGGGACACAGGGCCCAGCGGGCCGCGCACAGTCTCAGCCTGTGACTTGGGAAGCGGGAAGGGGCCGCCGGCTCAGGGAGGCGCGGCCAAGCTCCGGTCTTGGGCACAGCGTGGCAGCAGCCATGGCCCGGAGCAGCTGGCTACGCTGAGGCCCGCCCAGGAGCGGCCAGTGGATGGCTGGGCCTTGTGCAACCCTGGGGCAGCGGAGAAGACGGGCAGCACATGGCAGGGAGGCTGCCCGAGTCACAGCACCCATGGGCCCGGTGTCGCGCCTCACACGGCCCCCAAGGGCTCAAGCTGGACCAAGAGCCCTCGGACCTTTCCCTCCTGGAAAGGAGGGAGAGAGGCAGCCCCTGTGGACCTGGTCTCAGGACCTGGGCAGCCCCGCCCGGGACGGACCCTCAGACACCCCCACTGGAAGCCAGCAGGATGTGATACCCAGGGCCTGGGGCCGTCTTCGCTTGCAGCCGCAGGCCGGTGTCCGGGACCCCCCACCACCTGGCTCTGCTGCTATCGCTGGGGGCCCAGCCGAGGGCAGCGGAGGTGCATGAAAGCTGCCGCTGGGCTCCCCCCGAGCCTCAAGGACCAGGGTCCCCTCACGTGAGCCTCGGGCTTCTGCCTCCACTACCGAGGCCCTTTCTGGCCAGTGCCGCTTGCGGTCGCTTGTGCTCGGCCCCAGGAGGCTGTGGGGGCTCCTCGTAGACCCCTCTGCCGTGGACAGCAGGAAGGTGTGAGCCTGGCCTGCTGACTCCCAGGCCCCTCTGCCCACTTCGCGCATAAGTCAGGCCACCTCTGTGAGGCTCCGCTGCCGCCCTCCTGCTGTGCGCAAGCAAATCTGGCCAGAGCCCAGGCCCCCTGCTGCTGCAGCACCACCAGCTGCCCGGGTTTTGCTCCCAGGTGTCTGCCCCACTGGGGGGGCTGCCAAGGTCCTGGGCACAGCTGTCCCGGCTCAGCAGGGCCCGGCCGGGAGGAGGCACGTCCACCGTCTTGGTAGGAGACCATCCCATGTCAACCCTTCCCTCCCGGCTAGGAGCACAGGCCGGTGCTGAAGTCGAGTCTTTATTGAAGTGGGGTGCTGGGGCACAGAGCGCGGAGGGGCAGCCCAAACGTTTGGGGCTCCAGGACTCCAGCTGTAGGGTCCAGGAGGAAGAGCCAAGGGCCCAGAAGCTACGAGAAGGTGATGTTGTCCTCATACAGGGACAGCAGCAGCAGGAGGGTCCAGCCGCCCAGCAGGCCCACGTTGTGCAGCAGGAAGAGGAGCCAGGGCCGCGGGTCCCGCACATTCAGCATGGCCGGGAGCTGAGGAGGCCGTGGGCGCCCAGTCAGTGTCCACTTCCCCACCCCGGACCCGCCCTCCTCTCCGCCGGTTCTGACCATGTCGCAGAGCGCCACGTAGAGGAAGAGGCCGGTGGCCACCGCCAGGATCCAGGTCTCCTTATCCTCGTCCACGCCGACCACGAGCGCCAAGTAGAGGCCGCAGAAGGCCGTGAGCGCCGAGGCCAGGTTGAGCAGCAGCGCGCGGCGCACCGACAGCCCGCAGTGCAGCAGCGCCGCGAAGTCCCCTGGGGGGGGCGGGTGTCAGCCTCGGCCGCGCCCCCTCCCGCGGGCCCCGCCCACGGCCGCGCGCTCACCCATCTCGTGGGGCACCTCGTGGCAGAACACGGCCAGCGAGGTGGCCAGCCCCGTCTTCCAGGAGGACGTGAAGGCGGCGCCCACCGCAAGGCCGTCTGCGAAGTTGTGCACCGCGTCCCCGAGGGTGACCATGTAGGGCAGCAGCCTCAGCTCTGGCGGGGGAGATGGTGGGTGGGCCCGGGCTGCCTGCGCCCCCGGCCCTCCCCCCGCCACGCCCCCTGGCCGCGCTGGCCGCCCTCCGCTCACCTGGGCGCTGCCTCCTCTGGGGCGCTGGGCTCGGCAGCTCCGGGCTCTCCTCAGACACCTGGGGGTGGGGTGGCCTGGATGAACCCCTGGGCCGCAGGGGCAGAAGCTTGGAGTGGGCTCTGTGGGGTGTGGGCTCTGGGGTGCTGGCTCACCAGGTCTGTCCTGGAGTCCTTGGGGGGCTGCTTGGACCCCCAGAGGTCGCTGGGCGTGAGCTGCAGTGACACGCCGTGGCTGTGGCCACCATGGCCACTGGGACCGTCCTGTGGGTCCAATGGGGACAGGCACTCAGAGCCAGCCACATCTCTTCCCCTCCACACCCCGTGTCCGGCGCCCAGCCTGACCTCTGGTTCCTGGGGCAGCAAGAGATTGAAGAGGCTCTCGAACAGGAAGAAGGCGTAGAGGCCCCCCAGCATGGCCACGAGGCGCCAGGTGGCCAGCGGGTGGTGGTCCTGCCCGGCGCCGTGGGAGTGCAGCCCCAGCACCTGGGGGCAGGGAGCTGGGCTGGTGCCCCTCCTGGCTGCCAAGGAGGGCTGGGGTGGGCAGGGTCCCCTGGGAGGCCGGGGAGGGGCGGGACGGGAAGGGTCCTGGGATGTCAGGGGTGGGGCGCGGGGTGGGGGCGGACCTTGGGTGTCAGGTGCAGGAGGGCGTCCCCGGTGAGGGTCCCCACAGACATGCCCAGGAAGGTCTGGGTGACGTAGCCAGTGGCCGTGCCGCAGCGGGCGCAGGTCAGAAGCAGGAGCCCGAACACGGATGCCAGGCAGATGACCAGTGTGGCCAGCGAGCCGTACAGGTACTCTGGGGGCCGGCAGGCCTCAGCCCTGGCCCAGCCTGCATCCCGGGGGCACTGCTGCCCAGGGCTTGCAGGGGCAAGGCTGGTGGGGCTCTGCTCACAGCCCCTGCAGCCTTGCAGCCTCCAGGCCTTGCTCCTCTCCCCTGCAGGCCCGTCTCCCTGCGACCCCTCCCTGTGCTCAGATGCTGCATGTGACCAGCAGCCACGGCCACTCTGTCCCCAGCCCAGCCACCCGTCCCCACTCCCCTGCACGGCCCCGTATCCCTGTGGCCAGCACCCATCCCAGCTGAGCGGGCACCGGGAAGGGGGCACTCACTCTCTGCTCGGCTGAGCTGGTCCTGAGGGGGTCCCACCTGGGCGCTGCAGGCCCCACTCAGCTGCTGCTGGAGCAGAGCGGGGCTCAGCTGGGCCCAGGCCTCAGGGCTCACCCCCGTCTGCGTGGGCAGCCCGTACACGGCCATCACGTCCCTGGCGCTCAGACACACCTGGGGTGCGGGGCAGGTCAGGCCCTGAGCGGACTGTGGGCCCCCCTGGAGGATGGGCCGGGCCCCCCACCGGAGGAAGGGCCGCGTCACTTACCGTGTCCCACACGCTGGAGCTGCCGTTGGGGGCGACGAGAGGGGCAGGGCCCCCGTGGGGGTGACCGTGGCCGTGGCCCTGGGTCTCCACCACCGCCTCCGTGCCCACCCCCAGATGCTGCATCAGGGCCGCCAGCTCTAGCAGGGAAGACGGAGTCACCCCTGGGGCTGGGGGGCTCCAGCCGGCCCTGCCCTCCTGGACACCGCCCGCCCCGTGGCCGGGCCTCACCGGCCAGTGTGATGTTGGGGCGCTCGTTGCTTTGCTGCCGGAACACGAAGTCCACGAAGTACTGGGGCGCCGGCAGGGCGCGGAAGCAGGACCCGCTCCCGACGTGGTCGACCAGCGCCGCCAGGGCCGGGCCGGGGCTGCCGCGGGCGCCCTGCCCCCACGCTTCGTCCAGCAGCCCCGGCAGGTCCACACAGGCCTGGGGAGAGCGGCTCAGGCTCCGCCGTGTGGCCGTCTTGGCCTCCAGCCGGCCTTTGTTCCCCGTCACCCCCGGCCCACTCTCAGGGGCCTGCCCTGAGCCCGGCTGGCCGGGCCGCTCCCGTCCCCGGCCCAGGGCCCCGCCTCACCCTGTGGGCCCCCCTTCCTGGCCCCCGGCCCGCGAGCGCCCTCCCCGCTTGGGACTGGCTGAGCCTAGCCCAGCGCCCTTGGGGAGCCTGGCGGCCCGTGGGGCTCTCACCTCATCCGCCGAGGGCTGGCCGGCGGCCCGGGCCTGGACGCTCAGCAGCAGCCGGCTCAGGCCTGGGGCCAGGGCTTCAGGGCCCTCGAGCAGGGCCAGGAGTTGGTCGGCGCTGGAGGCCCAGCGGCCGGCCCGGATGTCCACGCAGGTGCCCTCGGGGTCGCTGAGGTACAAGGCGACAGCGGCGCCGAGGCGGGCCAGGTGCCTGGACGACACCCCCCATCCTCGGGCGCGCCCAGGGCCAGGGCGGCCTCCACAGACAGGCACTGCGGGAAGGGGCGGGTGGGCCATGGCGGAGAGGCCCCGCTGGCCCCGGCTGCCCCTCCCCGCCGCCCGGCTCCCGGGCCCCGTCCTGCCCTGCCTCGACTGTGGGTGCGCGCAGGGGGGTCCTGGCGGTGACCCCAGGGGTGCCCGAGCAGCCCGGCCACAGGCCGGGCCAGGGCGCCCGCCCCCTGGAGTTTGCCCGGGACTCGACGCCTGCCCAGGGTGGGGCTGTTACCTTTCCACATGGCCCGCCGGAGCAGTGCACACGGGCCGCCAGCGTATTTAACAGGCCTCCCAGCGCCTCCCGGTCCAGAGTGCCCCGGCCCGCGGCCAGCAGGGGCAGCAGGCGGGTCGGCTGGGCAGCCGCGGTCACGGTCACCACCAGCGCGGCCAGCAGCAGCCCCCTGGGGAGCCGGGCCGGGCCGGCCATGCCGAGCGGTGGCTGTGCTGGGAGGCAGTGCGGGCAGCTGTGCGGCGGGGCTGGGCTGGGACGCACCGGCCGGCCTCCTCCAGGTATCTCCTGCGGCCCTGTGATTGGCTGCGGCCAGCCACTCAGGGACAGGTCCTCCCCGCGCCCAGGGCCAGGGCCGGGCCCCTGCCCCCCGGCCCCTCGGCCCCTCGGCCCTCCGGGCCGCTGCAGGCAGTACCCACCCTGCCGACCCCTCAAGGGCACCCCGTGGGGGCTGGGTGGGGCAGCACGCTACGGGGACACCCGCTGCGGTCGCCCAGCAGTGGGCAGGAGTCTCGGGGTAAGCGAGGATTGGGGGGTGCCGCGGACCAGCCCAGCGGCGGCGGGAGATTGAGACAATCTCAGGGTTTGAGCGAGAATGAGCAAAGGGTGGTCGAAGGAATTAGGGCGAGGGACAAGAATGACACACAGACACACTCAAGGGAGAGTGAAAATCTGAGTGCAATTTATTGAAAGTATCATGCTCTTTTTATACATTTTTATAGACATTGCATAAGGTTGCCTTTGTACATTATGTGGTTAATCATACACCAAATCACCAAATCATTACATGCAGTGAAACATAACGAAGACAATATGCACTAAATCTAGCTTCGATCATGCACAAGTGTCAATGACTCAGGTACATACTGAGACCTCTGCAAGAGGTCCCATTTTTCTCTATGCTATTCATGACCTCTAGGATTTTGGTAATTAACCCTAGCTTAACCATTGACTCAACTATTCAGAATTTTCTTGTACTTAGGATCTATGTTGACCTACATATTTTTGTTATTACTGTGACTGTTTACACAGCACAACTTAATTCCATTATTCTAGGCTCCCCACACCCACCAGATTCCTAATGCATTTTCCGTAAGCAGTCAAACTAGTTTTACAACAATAGTTTAATAAAGCTTCAACCTATTATAAGGAGCACCGGTGTGACTTCAGCAAATTGAGCAAGTTACTGAAACTTAATGCTATTGCCTTCTAGCAGTTATTTTCCATAGAGTTAAAAGGGGGCGGGGGACACTTATAAATCCCCTCGGGGACTGCGCCTGTCTTAGGTTGTCAGGAGTCACAAACCGAAGGTCTGTTCCTGATCTTACCCGTCATTGGCTGACCAGTCCAGCGCACAGGGGAAGAGGGTCTTACGTACTCTATTTGTGATCATCCGCAGTACAGCCACTCTTTATTTCATCCAATTACTGGCGATTAATGGTGGCAACAGTGGCATTGCCAACCATGGAGGCAGGAGCTGCCACAGTTCCCCCTTTATTTTTAAATTTAAGCTGCATTAAATGTACATCACGACGCAGTGATGTAATGGACTTACTGAGGAGTTTAAGAAACACCAGAAGCAGGAGGCAACAGATGAAACTGTAAGAGAGGTTACAATAGCAATCAAGGCAGCAATACCTAGGATAAGAGAAGCAATAAATAAACCACCATGCGGTTCGTAGGATGTCGAAGCAGGTGAAGGATGACTGATGGAGAAATTATAAAGTTTGTCCTGAGACTGTGGTGGTGACATATGAAGAGCCTTAGAGAAACCACAGTCCAGCCACACAGGAAACTTAACAAGTGAGTCCCAAAATTGGTCCTTATTTCTATAAGTTTGATTGCAATGCGGCATGGGCATGGGAAAGTCCGGAACAATAAGTTCCTTGCTAGAAACAGGAAAATTAAGTGATGCAAAATTTAACTGCCACTGGAGGTTGAATGACATTGAAGATTGGCGAGCCTTCTCACGAGTGCCTCGGCCAGACGTTGGAGATGCTGCAACCTTTGGCGGCGAGCAGTGTTTAATAAGCCGGTCTGGGATCCAGACAGGGCTCTTTGCATCCTGGGGAAAAATGCAAGCATAGCCTCGACCCGTAGTCATCAAAACATCGGGACCTTTCCAGGTCCCAGTAAGCAGATCCTTACATTTAACCAGGGGAAGAGGAGCTTGTCGTAAAGTTCCCCGATGTCTCAGCATAGGAGTAAAACCTTTATCATCAGAATTTGGGTGATTTAAAACAAAAAGAGTATGTGATGTTGATGATGTGGAGAATAATGGGCTGCAGAACGCAGCCTTTTCAATTGTTGTTTCAATTTTTGATGAGTTCTTTTAATTACTGCTTGACCCTGGGGATTGTAGGGGATGCCAGTAACATGGGCAATGCCCCCTGTTGGCAAAAAGTTTGAAATGTCTTAGAAGTATATGCTGGAGCATTGTCTGTTTTTAACCGCAAAGGATGCAACAAGATGCTGCACCACATTACGAACAGCTTCACCGGTCCTGGCTGTAGCATAAACAGCATGGGAAAAAGTATCCACAACAACATGCACATAAGCCAGTTTACTAAATGATGGATAGTGGGTAACATTCATTTGTCATAAAACCTGAGGTTTTAAACCTCGAGGGTTAACACCCAATTGTAAAGGATGATAAACATCCGGACAATGCCCACAATTTTAAACAATGGCTCGAGCTTGTTCTCGAGTAATTTTAAAGGCATGTCTCAATGCCTGAGCATTTTGATGATGTAAATGATGACTATTTTGAGCCAATTCAACAGAGTCAATAAATATTTTTCTTGTTAATAAATCAGCCATTTTATTACCTAAGGCCAAGGGCCCAGGCAAATTAGTATGGCCACGGATATGGCCAATTAATAATTTTTCTGATTTTTGTTGCACCAAATTTTGTAATTTTGACAACCAAAGTAGGATATGTGTTGTTCCTGATAAAAGAGCTGTCTCCAAAGTTGGAAATAAGGAGACAACATATTTAGAATTTGAATATAAGTTTAAAGGTTGAGAATAATTTTCCAGTGCCAATATAACTGCAATAATTTTAGCTTGTTGAGCAGAAGCATTAGGAGTCAATTTTTGCAATGGCTCTTTATCTGGGCTATAAACAGCAGAAATGCCCGAGGAGGAACCATTAGTAAAGACAAGCAAGGCATCACGTAATGGTTCTGTACTAATTACAGAAGAAAAAATAATTGCTGTATCTTGCACAAATTTAATTAATGGATTTTGAGGTAAATGAAATTTAACTTGTCCTAAAAAATTTTGCATGGCAACTCCCCAATTATTATCATTTTGCAATAAAAATTCAAATTGGATTTTATTATAAGGAATCGTAATATTTGCAGGATCCCGTCCAAAAAGTTCACGAGATTTGATGATGCCTTTCATTATTAAAAATGCACACATGGACGGATATGCCGTCACCACACGCATTTGTGCATGGGAGAGATGCAACCATTCCAAAATGCCCTCCTGCCATAAGCAGGCTGTAGGAGTATAGGCAGTTTGCATAATCAACAAATCCCACGTTTTAGAATAATCAACTTGTGTAACTCTTGCTTCTGAGATTTTTTGTTCAACTAAACGAAGGCTTTGTAATGCCTCCGGAGTCAAGGCACGAGGAGATCTAGGATTCGAATTGCCTTGTAGAATTGTAAAAAGTGGATGTAAATCTCCGGTAGTAATTTTTAAATAAGGCCTGACCCAATTGACATTACCTAGTAACTTTTGAAAGTCATTTAGAGTTTGCAATTTATCAATACGAATTTGTAAATTTTGAGTCATAATGTGATCATCATAAATGATTTTTTCTAAATAATTTAAAGGTCGATTCTTTTGAATTTTATCTGGTGCTACTATCAGACCATAAGCTGTCAATTGTTCTATCAAATGGGTCAAAATTGAATCTGCAACATCCTTTAAAGGATGACTTAAAAGAATATCATCCATATAATGGATAATATATGCCTCTGGAAATTTAATTCTAGTAACCTGCAAGGCCTGGTCAACAAATTTTTGACACAAAGTAGGGGAATTCTTCATTCCTTGGGGCAAAACTTTCCACTGATATTTTTGCCATGGTTGTTGAAAATTGTTAGATGGAATACTAAAAGCAAATTTTTTTTTTAATATTTATTTATTTATTTATACAAGCACTGGGAACAGTCAGAAGTGCGGGAGGGTGAGAGAGTTCACCAGAGCCAGAGTGGGGAGCAGAGCAGGCAGAAGGACCGAAGTACACTGCTGAGGGGAGCAGCGGGCGGCAGGAGAGGTCTGCGCGCCATGTGGGACCCTCCGCCGGTGGCCAGGGAGCAGCCGGGGATCGAACCGGCGCTGCAGAGGCTGCGGGCAGCTTCGCAAACCAGCGCTCAACCGCTGCGCCACCGGGGAGGCCCTAAAAGCAAATTTTTGACAAGCATCTGGATGTAATTTTATTGTAAAGAAGCAGTCTTGTAAATCAATAATAATAACATAATTGTCTTTTGGAACTGCTACAGGAGAAGGCAACCCTGGCTGTAGGGCACCCATATCCTGCATAGTGGCATTTATTGCCCCCAAATCTTGCAAGAGTCGCCACTTGCCAGATTTTTTCTTAATACAAAAAACAGGAGTATTCCATGGACTTGTAGAAGGTTTTAAATGCCCCTTAAGTAATTGTTTCTGAACTATAGTTTGGATAGCCTGGATCTTTTCTGCTGTCAGGGGCCATTGATCGATCCATACAGGAGTTTCGTCTTTCCAAATGATTTTATCAGCATATTTTTGAGTTTCAATGGCCCCTATAAAAAAGCCTGTTTATTAATCACATCTGGAGTTACTAAGGATAACTGTAATGTTTCCATAATATCACGTCCCCATAAAGAGAACGGCAATGCAGGAATTACATAAGGTTGAAACAAACCTTTCTGAGTCCCTAATTGCCAGGATAACATTTGTGAACTTTGAGCCACATTATTGGCCATACCCAATCCAATCAACGTGGAAGAAGAATTTAAAACCGGCCATGCAGCGGGCCAGTCTTTTCCCGCAATACATGATCTATCTGCTCCTGTGTCTAATAATCCCATAATTGGATGCCCATTAATAATTAATTTTTTCAATGGCCGTTTTTTTGTAATGCTCTGGGTCCATGCAATTACATCCGTGGATCCAAAGCCATCATCACCTCTTTTTTATTT